ACTATATCTCAAATGGATGTGAAAAATGCATTTCTCCATGGACATTTAAAAGAGACAATATATATGCGACCTCCTCCTGGTTATTACAATAATAAAGCTTTGGTATATCATTTGAAAAAGTCCTTGTATGGTTTAAAATAAGCTCCAAGAGCTTGGTTTGAACTATTTCAACATGTTGTTCTGCATGCTGGGTTGTTGTTCTGCATACTGGGTTGAAACAAAGTGCTCATGACTATTCGCTATTTACTCATCATTGTTATTCAAGAATAACAATTATTCTCATATATGTTGATGATATTCTCATCACAGGAGACGACCTGGATAATAACAGACACTTGAAAGAGCTTCTCAGTCAATCATTCAAAATGAAAGATTTGGATCCGTTAACTTATTTTCTTGGGCTGGAGATTCATTATTCCCCTAATGAATACATAGTTAACCAGAAGAAGTATATCAAAGACTTGATCAAACTAGCCAACTTATCTGATGAGAAACAAGTAGATACACCAATGGAGGTGAATGTAAACTATAGAAAGGATGATGGCGACAAACTTCCGGATCGTACTCTCTATAGACAACTGGTTGGGAGTCTACTTTATCTCACTATGACTTGTCCATTTTATTTCAGGTCGTTAGCCAATTTGCTGCTGATCCTCGTTGCATCCACCTCTCTGTTGTCCATCGTATTATTCATTATCTACGGGGTACATATCATAGAGGTCTTTTATTCTCTTCTAACTCTTCTCTCCAGTTACGAACCTATGCCGATGCGGATTGGGCAGGATGCCCCGATACTAGACGTTCAACCACTGGGTGATGTATTTTTCTTGGAGATTTTCTCATCTCATGGAAATATAAGAAACAACAAACTGTGTCTAAATCTTTTGTAGAAGCCGAATACCGAACAATGTCCTCAGCTTGCAGTGAAATTACTTAGTTGAGAGGCCTTTTACAGGATCTCAATATTCTTCATCGAACTCCAACACTATTGTATGCTGATAATATGACCACCATACATATTGCGTCAAGTCCAGTGTTTCATGACCGCACAAAGCGTATAGAGGTTGATTGTCATTTCATTCGTGACAAGCTTATGGTCGGAGAAGTTACACTCCCATATATTACCTCCTAACAACAACTTGTAGATATTCTTACCAAGGCAATGACTCGTGCTCGTCATGATTATCTCGTTGATAAACTGATAATGTTCACTCAACCTCAATTTGAGGGGGAGCGTAGAGATAGAGATAGTAGAGATAGTCGAGGAGATATAGATAGTTGAAGATAGTTTTTTTTGAATTTTAAGTTTATCTTGTATTTGATATAGATATCTCACTTGATAAGCCTAGATTAGTTCATTGTTATCAATAACTGATTAGCCCTATATGTATAGGGGACTCTGTATATTCTTGATTATTAATCAATACACAGAGATTTATCTGGAGGATTCAAAATTTTAATATGATAGGATTGCGGCTCTATCAAAATAAGTAAAGTCTCACCTCAAACTCAATTAAAATTACAATGTTTGCATTGAAAACCCTCGAATCGATCATCTGGGCCTTGATTATTATGGTTGTGGAAAAAACTAGGATTTTAAGTTCTAAAAATAGTGAATATTATAACACATTATCCAGACTGTCAACTTTACCCTAAAAATAAGTGTTCATGGATCCACAAAATATGTACCATTTTTTTAGTTTCAAAATTTATTTTTTTGTGTTGGATATCGATTTTAGAGGAGATTTTATTTTGTTTTCATAGAGCTTAGGTCTTATTGAAACTACATACTTATTTATTTCTTTCAAAATATTTTCTATTTGGGTGCGATTTGTATAAGGCTGAGGTTCTAAACAATCAAAGTAAAGCGCACCTTGAAAAAGTGTCGATAAATGTAGTTTCAATATTGGAAATCTTTGTGATAGCCTTAAAATATAATTTTATCTTTAGTTATAAAATTAAATATTTTAAAAATAGTGTAAATTGAGCATATCTATGAAAACTTGAAAATCTTGAAAATTGACGGTCAAACAATGCATATTACAAGATGCACTATTTTCAAATCTTGAAATCTATTTTTTCTCATGTCCATACATCTTGAAGTCGAGATGATGAATTTGAGGATATTTAAGCACCAAAACAACCTCTTCTAATGAAATTTTTTAGGTCTACCCTAATTTAATTGTTTAGAGCTTTGCACTTATATAATCTTTTTTCATTCTATTTTATATGGTCGCCTCAATTGAATCGTTGAATTGTTGGATTAAAATATTTGCACGTGTACTGACCGCTAAAAACAAATAACATTAAAATAAAATAAAATTAAAGGCCAAGAATCATGAGAGTGTGAGGCATTTTTCATGGAATAAAAAGGGAAGATGCCTTTCTCCTTTGTCCACACGTGACCTAACCCCTCAAGTGATCTTTATGGAGACACCCTACACTAACATCCATGCACAAAAAGACTATAATACCCTTGTATTTTTATAGAAAAGCAACGTAACCTTTTTTTTGAATATTGCATTTGGCAGCATAACTTTGACGGAAAATTAAATAAATATTCGATATATTTTCTGTTATTATGAGAATATCTGAAATTTTTCAGTATTACTTAGATGTCTGTTTTTTCAACTTCATAATATATATATATATATTTTTTTAAAGATGAAACTGCCCATTTTTTTAAATTTTGGGTTTTTCCAAAACTTTGGATTTTTGAAAAAACAAAATTAATAACTCAATATCTTAAAAAAAAGAGATAACAGAAAAATAAGGTATATATGGGTTTATTACATGAAGTTTCAGGTATTTTCACAATAACGGAAAGTATAAAAGATATTTATGTAATTTTCCCTAACCTTTATATATGAATTCATGATCTAAATATGCTTTATACAAACCGCACTCTTTTCGTTTTCTTTTATTACTGAGACAATATTGTAAGATGCGTTCGATTGTACCCACTATTCTTGATTTCTTGAGGTATGGAGCAATTCAAAGGTTTTTTTGAGATTTTGGGGTGCATCTTACTTTGACAATATACGATTTCAATGAAAAAATGGTGCTTGATGTTCTTGGTAATGGATGTTTCAGATTTATATGCACATGAAAACACTGATCCTTGAAAGAAATTAGTCTCATGGTGTTTTGGCCTAGGATCAACGGCTTAATTTGACAATCATCTCTGATAAATTGAAATTGCCTTCTTTCTTTTCTCACAATAACTTGCATTGTTGATCATAGCTCTGAGATTATCTTGGTCAAATGATTTTGTCTTGATATTTTTAAGGCACGTGTATACTGATTTGATATATTAACATCTCAATAATCATCCAATAATGTCTCAATAAAATTAGAGCACCATCTCCATCATCATCATCATCACCTAAACTTTATGCCAACTATTTCGGATATGCTAAACAAAACTCGTTTCACCATTTTTCTCTATCAACGGCTATACCTTCAGTCAGACTATCAATAAAAAATGAAAAAAGTTTATATAAGTACAAGGCTCTAAACAATCAAATTAGGAAATTTCCAATAGAAGAGATTGTTTTGATGCCCAAATATCATCGAATCTATCATTTCGACCTCAAGATGCATCGACATGAGAAAAAAATGGATTTCAAGTTTTGGAAATTGTGCATAATGTAATATATTTTGGGACCATAAATTTTCATGATTTACAAGTTTTCATAGATCCGCACGATCTACATTTAATTTGTGACAAGTGATATACCCATACAAAACAAAAAGAAAGAAAGAAATCTAAAAATTATTATTTTTTGAACCTTAACCAACATTTTTAGAAAAATTTAAGAAACCATATTTTATACTTCGAGATATTAGAAAAAGAATGCGTTTTTTATAATATTGTAATCTTAAACAATCAAATTAAGGTGCACCTCCAAAATTTATCATAACATGTAATTTTTGTGCAAAAAATTATTAGGATTATCTGAAAATTATTTTTATATCTAATTATAAAATTTTGAATTCCAAAAATGGTTAAGATCAAGTATATAGATATATATATATATATATATTGTTTTTTTTTTATATTCATATATTTTGATATCGAGATTTTTGAGATGTATATGTAATTAGAGAAATTTTAAAAACAAAGGCTACGTCAGTGTTTTATGTGTCATATTATTTAACGAAAGGGGTAGTTTTGTCATTTTGCTAATTTAATAGTTAGAACATCTTGCCTTCGTGTGATGTTTACTATATTTGGCGCTCTTTTGTCTTTTGCATTTTACATGTTGTGCCCCCACTAACTTTCTTTTTCTTGAATACAAGGCCCACTCCCCTCGCTCTACGTCAATGACTTTTCCTCTCTAACCAACCAGATCCCCATTTCTCTCTCTCTTCAAATGCGGTCCTTTCTCTCTCTAAACACCCACCCTCCCTCCATTCTCTCTCTTAAAATGTGCATTCCCAGACCAATCGCGCTCCCCCTCTCTCTTTCTCTCTCTTCCAACGTGCCTTTCTCTCTCTAACCATTGAGATCCCCTCCTACTAATCCTGGAATTTACTTTCTCTCTCTAACCAACGAGATCCACACTTCCCCCTCTCTCTAACCAAGGAAAAGGAAAAAGTATATAAAGCTGAGGCTCCAAACAATCAAATTAAGGTCAATCATGAAAATTTTACTTGGAATGCTTGTTTTTGATACTCGAATATCTTCAAATTAATCATCTCGACATCAAGACTTACATACATGAGGAAAAAAATAGATTTCAAAATTTGAAAATAGTTCATCTAATAATGTATTTTTAGATAGTGAATTTTAAAGATTTTTTAAATATTTATAGATTTGTTTGATGTACATTATTTTTAAACTTTAAATTTTATAATTAAAAATAAAAATATATTTTAAGATTATTATGAAGATTTTCAGTATTAAAACCTCATTTCTAAATACTATTTGAAGAGGTTTTAATTTGATTTTTTAGAATCTCGGCTCTATACAAACGGCACCCATTTATTATTTTTCTCTCACTTACTAATATTTGAGGCTGTTTCTCTCTCTAAATTACTGATTTAACATCGCTGGAACGGTCCATTTTCTTGCTCTACAAATTTCTCCATTTCTCCGCCACTGGTCTCGAGCGATGTGTCATTCTCCTGGTTTTTCAATGCGGCCTTTCTCTCTCTAACCATTGAACATACCCACCATATAAATGGCGTTTTCCAAGACCTTGTGAATGCCTCTCTATAACCAGTGCTCACCTACCATTTTCACAGCACAAACACTCATGCTTGGCTCTCTGTGCTCTCGCCCAAAGCCCTGGATTCTCTCTCTCTCCTCTCTCTACCTATCACCCCACCATCGCCCCCTCTCTCTCTCCTCAAAACCCATCCCCTTTTCCACGAGGAGCAATGGCGTGGCCACCACCGCCAATGCTTGGCAATCTCTGTTGCCTTTGGTCCAATTTTCCGGCCACTTTTCGGGCCAGAATGGGCGGGTTTCTGGTGAGAACGGCGTGAAAATTGGGTGGTTTCCTGTGAGAGAGGAGGGGTCATGGAACGTGGCTTGGGATTTGAGGCCCGCCCGGTGGTTGCAGGGCTCGAACTCAGCTTGGCTGCTCTTTGGTGTTCGTGCCTGCTTTAATGGCTATTGTAAAGAGGAGGTTGAAGGTCCAGAGTTAGAGTTAGGACTAGGGCTTGAGACTGAGAAGATCAGCTTGGAGTTCAGCACTTTGCCTCTGGGTTTGATCTCGACTGGTAAGAATATTGCAGTTCCTGCTGTGAAGAAGCGGACGTTTAGTGATTACAGAGTAACCGGTATAACTCTATCTCTCTCGCTCTATCTCTGCCTGTTAGAGTTTTACATATTGCAATTTCTGGTTTCTCCTTATCTCTGTCTCTCTGTAACAAATTTTGCATGCTGCAATTAGTGTTTTGCTCTCTCTCTAACTATATATGTCTATGCATCTCTGTCAGTTTTAGATATTGCAATTACTCACAAATTTTGCTCTATATATATCTATGTATTTCTGTTACAGTTTAAGATATTGCAATTACTCACAAATTTTGCAGGCTGAAATTAGTGATTTGCTCTTTCTCTCTCTCTGACTATATATATCTATGTATCTCTTCTAGATATTGCAATTACTGATTTCTCTCTCTCATCTATTCATGTATCTATGTTACAAAATTGCAATTAGTGGTTTTCTACCTCTCTCTCTCTCTCTCTCTATTGCTGGGTATTTTTGGATTTTGCAGCGTTACTGGTTCTCTCTCTCTCTATATATATCTATATATCTATCTCTGGGTATTTTCGATTTATCGATGTTACTGGTTCTCTCTCTCTATACATATACGTTGTAGAATTGATGTTAGTTGCATGCTCTGTTCTGATATTTTTTGGGATGAATTTGGTGTGCCGAGTTTGCGGAGTTGGAAGTAAAAATATTGTTATCAATAATGATAAAACAATATGCTCTTCTTCTTCTCTCTCTTCTTTTCTTCTGTTTGTTATTGTTATTATTTTTGAAGATTCCAATTTATTTCACTTATGGTGTTAGGCTCAAAAAAGGAAGGTTGTTTTAGGGGAGAACCAAAGGGTAGGTCAGTTTCCATTCCCCAGGTACAGGTTGTTAAACGACAAGAATTTTGTTTTTTGATTGGATGATCTATAGGATGGGTTTGTAGTTTAGATTTGCGCCAAGGTTTCAGATAAAAAGGAAATAGAATCTTTATCTGAGTACCTTCTTTTAACCAATTCTTCGGAAATTTTCTTTCTAATAATTGAACACCATATTGGTGGAAGAAGAAGCTGCCAAAGCAGCATCTTCAACCAATGGAAGAAGCAGCTGCCAAAGCAGCGTCTTCCACCAACTATAGAAGCCCCTACTTCCATGGGGTACCATAAAGCCGCTTCCCCCAAACCATCGTTGTTTTGGAAGCCAATGCTCTTTCGGAAGCTGCTGTAAGCTAAGGCTTCCAAAACAGCATCGCACTTCCGCATAAAGTGCTACAGTTTTGGAAGTCACAGTTTTTGGAAGTCGTGCTTCTACAAAACAAACATGCTCTTCGTAATTGGTGCAATGGTTTTGAAAGCCGCAGTTTTTGGAAGTCATGCTTCCACAAAACAAACATCATCATCATCATCAAAGCCTTTTCCCAACTAATTGGGTTCAGCTAAACAAACATGCTCTTAGTAATTCTGGTATAAGTTTCTTGTCGGAAGGTACGAGGAAGCGGTCTTACATAGAGAAATTAATGATCCTTATCTGTTTATTCTCATAAAGTAGCAAATTGTTATTGCCTCTCTCACTCTCTGATTTGCACTGATCCTTATCTGATAATTCTCATAAAAGTAATACACTAATAATATTTCTCTATCTAGTAATACAGTATTAATCTCTCTCCCTCTCCGGTTATTTTCTTACTGGTGTTTTCTATTTTCTTTTCTCACTTTTATTGTTTTTGGTAGTACAGAGGATAGCTGCTGTTCCAATATTAACATAGGATTCAGTAGTAGACTCTCTCTACCTCACACATACACACACACAAAGGCAGCTGCTAGATTCTCTCCATCTGTCGCACACGAAGGGACATATATCTCTCTTACATGCATGCGCAACATTTCTCTTCTCGCTTAAATACATCCCATAGCAATCCACTCTCTCGCTCTCTCTCCCTCTCACACATGCACACGCACACACACACACACAACAAGGTTACTGATGTTTGCTCTTTGTTTATTATTTATAGCTGTTAGTTTGACTTAGCGAAAATATTTGCATTATTTGTGAAGCTTTCAAAACCTTTATGGCGCAAATATCATAGCAATCCCTTTCACTCCGCCCCCCAACAACTATGTGTGTGTGTGTGTGTTGATTGGAACAATCCCAGGATTCTTTTGATTATGAATGTTGTCCTCAGTTCTGAACGAATGGTTTGAGAATTACTTACTTTTTGAATATCAGACCTGTCTCTTTAGGCCCGGGTTGCATGGACAGAAGTATTTGTGTTAGCATCAGACTTGGGTATGAGATGTCAGATTTTTCATTCGTGAAAAGCCGGATTCAGAAAATGACTACATTAAAAACAGATGAAAGATTCCAACACTGTTTACTTGTAATGCATCTCATTCTAAGTAGCCAGATAAATTTCTTAGCTGGCTAAATTACTGCATATTTTCGAAGTTCATTTGGGCCTAAAAGAAAACAGAAATAAGTTCAAGTCTCTAAAAAGATGTAATCAATGCTTAGTTAATAAGAAGGATCCAGAAGGTTCTGTGTCGCTATGTATGTCGATGCATGTCCGACACAGAAATGGCACCCAGACAACAAGTCAATGTAACATTGCTTTAGACACGTGAAATACCTCTCTACTCATTCTTACCCATGTCATGCAATTTTTGGAATACCTTTTCTAGAAAACATTGTTTGAGTTATTATTTTACCCTTGATAATGTTTTTCTTTCTTCTGTCTCATCATGGAGAAGCAGTGATGTTTTATTACTCTCATACTAATTCATTGGTTCCGTGAATGCTTCCAGCCACAATCCCAACTTTTCTTTGGAAGTTTATTGGTTTCCATACTTATCTTCTTGGTGTCTAATGGTATTTTACAATTTTTGGAATAAGTATTCATTTATTTATATGGTTCTCTTTAGATAAATACTCTTTTTGCTATTTTGTACAGTGCTTGTAAACAAACTCACAACTTAATATATGTCCGTGTTCATTCGTTTAAGCTTTCTGTGTGAGAAGTAATTGAATGGGTTATCAGTCACAGAACGGTGGATCTGGTAATTAACTGTAATTGAATTTGCAGGTGTGCCTGGAGACGGTAGATGCCTTTTTAGAGCTGTTGCTCATGGGGCTTGCCTTAGAAATGGGAAAGCAGCTCCCAATGAATCTCTGCAAAGGGAACTTGCTGATGATTTAAGGGCTAAAGTAAGATTACTAATTTTTGCCACCATTGTTTTTTGCTGCATTTTTCACTGGCTTTGCTGTCACCAAAGAAGCTTTGATTTAGCAACCTAATCAAGAATATAAACTTCGTAAATTTTCTCAGAATTAAAGTTGTAAACATTTTTATTTTTATTTTGAGAAAGAGTAATAAACAAAATCTTCCTTCCATCAAATATTAAATGCTGTAATGAATTCATGAACTCACAAATTCACATGCAGCAATGATCCCTTGCGCACGTGCCCCAGCCCGCCTTCCCTGGGGGGAGGGGGCCGGTTAGGTTTGGTTTTGAAAGTTTTGAATGAGACAGTATGGTTTAGTCTCTAGCATTTATAAAGTGTCGTGAATATCTTTTTAATAAATAAAAAGCATGTACTCAAATACGTTATCTTATTGAGGGGGGGTTCCTCCTGGAGAAGATTTGGTTTTGTCTTGTAACAATTCCTGGAATTTTTTGGAAGCTATTCACCACCTGTTCTTGCTACTACAATTGTTGTGCTTTTTGTTATAATTATTTACTTAATGAACGGGAATGTGGATATGCCCTGCAGGTGGCGGAAGAGATCTTAAAGAGGCGTGAAGAAACAGAATGGTGAGATTTCATGCTCTTGATCAGAGCAATGCACATTGAGAATCAAAATTTTGTTTTAGATTTATTAAAAATTACAAAATTTTTCATTTAAGAAATTCTTGTTAGTTGACAGTTCAAAGCATTCTTCATTCTATTGATTGTGCAGGTTCATAGAAGAAGATTTTGAAACTTATGTTAAGAGTATCCAACAGCCTTACGTCTGGGGTGGTGAGCCTGAATTGCTGATGGCCTCACATGTTCTTCAGTAAGATGCTTTCTAAAATCTCCCATTAAAATTAAAGCATTTTCCTCTACAAAATTTTGCTTAATTCTAGATTATAAAGACATAATTAAACAGCTAATGCTTTTCTTAAGACATCAGGAAAAAAAATTAAAGGAAAAAAGTCACCATTTGCTTTTGTACTGATTTAGTAATCTTCACTGGAGGGATGAAATATGTGATGCCTGTTTTTGTTTTAAGGAGGATTTTTGTTGTGACATTATTTTAAACTGATTAAACGTTTTGGGGGAAATTGCAGGGCCCCCATATCAGTGTTCATGATGGACAAAAACTTGGGTGGCCTGATAAATATAGCGAATTATGGACAAGAGTATGGGAAAGAAAAGGATAGCCCTATTAAGGTTTTGTACCATGGTTATGGACATTATGATGCTTTGGAGCTTTTCGCAGATTAATTTTACAAAGGACCAGTGATAAGAATTTTTGTTAGATGAAAGATTTGGTTCAATAGGTTTACTGTTACTGACACGATTGAAATTGCCAAGAGTTAGCAATAGTCTTGTTTAACTCGAAGAACATAGATACGGGTAAGTGGTCACTTCCCTTTCTTGTAAAAATAAGTTTTGTTTGTTCTGGAGAATGAAATTATTTTCAATGGAATAAGTGGACCCTATGGTTTTTTTGGACGATATTGATAAAAAGTTGGTGCTATGTGCTCCATGTCTATATTCCTTAACATAAATGATTTGCTCACATGTGATTTTTGCTGGGTTTGGGCTTTTGGAGCTTTTGGCCATACCATCTCCTTGCAATGTTGTTTTCATTTCATGAGAGGTAATTTGTCTCATTTAATTTGAATTGTTTCTGTATAGTTTGCTTTCTTCTTATGTCTTCTAAGCGGATCCTCCTTTTTGTTTTATGAGATTGGATTTTCCTGCACTTCATGCTCTCCTCCCATTCATGCATTGGAAAAACTGAAATGCGCCTAGCTTTGTTCAATCAAACCAAAACACGTGATATTCTGACCTTTCTAGT